TTTTTTTTTTTTTTTTTTATTGAATAACATTCACTTGTTCAAAATTATAATCTTAATTCTATCAGAAAAAGAGCTTTATCCATCATGATCCACGAAACATGTTTGTGAAGGATAGCAAAATATGTGACCCTAAAATATGCCTCTTTGGCAGAAGGATTATTTTGGGCTAACAGCACCTGATAAAAGAGCAAATGCAGGGAGAGGCTTTCTCTGAATTCTCTTTATTTGCATAAAGACTGAGCCTCCAAAAAAGACTCAATTGTTATAAATTCCCTCCAGGGAAGTTTCATCAACCAGAGAAGACTGACTCTTACCACAGGAGATTAGAAATTGATGCCAATCTCAGACAAACTTTGTCACAAACTATCATATCCCCCATCTATTCTCCTAAGGGCCCATTCATCTTTCCTAAAAATCATTTACTCTCCTTTAAGTGAGCTCCATCCCCTTTCCCTTTCTCCTATTAAGACAGTTTATAAGCTCTCAGGGCACCTGGGTGGCTCAGTCCGTTAAGCGTCAAACTCTGGCTCAGGCCATAATCTCATGGTTTGTGGGTCTAAGCCCCACCGTTGGGCTCTGTGCTGACAGCTCAAAGCCTGGAGGCTGCTTCAGATTCTGTGTTTCCCTCTCTCTCTGTCCACCCCCCCCCCCCCCCCCCCCCCCGCCCCGCCCCGACTTGTGCACTCTGTCTCAGCTCTCAAAAATAAAAAATAAACATTAAAAAAAAGACACTATATAAGTTCTCAAATATCACTGCTTTGTGGGGTATTCACTTTTTTACTGTGATATCCTCATGTACATAACATTAAAAATTAGTAAATTTGTATACCTTTTCTCCTGTTGTCAGTTTATTTCATAACCCAGCTCTCGAACCTAGGAGAGTAGAGGAAAAGTTTTTCCTTCCCTACTGTCTGAAATGTTTAATACGGAATCCAAGATTCCCCAGTGTCTTTTACCAGTTTCTTAAACTCCTATAAAAACAGATGTAATGAGTCAATCCATTTAGGATTGAGAGTAATTTTTTTAATCACTAATATTTATGTTATTCATTAAATCCAGTCATGTAATGGATAGTCCTGATCATTAAACTACAGATTTAAGGTAGCCCTGAATGATCCTTTTAAGCTCAGCATAATTTAAAATTTTTAAATGTAGTGTAAAGATATACTCAACTAGCATTCCTTATCTGTACCAAAGAACAAAAACATAGATTTGATGGTCTATTTTCTCATTTATCAAGGATGGCAAATAACAAGTACCATCTAGATGCACGGGACAGAAGTTAATTGATTCCACACAACAGATGCCGTGAGGTAGTAAGACTCAATTCTCTAGTGAAGCCTAGTTAAGAAATGACCACAACCCTGTATTACTTAAATATTAATGATTAAGATTCACAGTTTGGATTTATACAGCTGTGGTTTCTGAGCTACAAAATGCAAAATTTCCAGGAAAACACACTCTCAAAAAAGAACATTAACAATTGCCTGGTGGACTTTGTAATTATGCTCTGAAAGGACTTCTAAGATTATCAGAACACGAATGGCAAGTAGTGGGGTCAGCCGTATCTTAAACCAGACATGCTAGTAAATGTTAATGATCCTCATTTACTTAAGGTATATTTATGAATTCTAATGTATTTCAAAGTTTCAATGTTCAAAACAGTAAGTAATCACAGTTCCAGTCACATATGTAGGAATATTTGGTAACTTATAGTTATACTTTACCTAAATATATCAATCCAAATCCTCCAGAGCCAATCATCTTGCCCAGCACCCATTGTTTTCCTTCCATATCATCCAGAATGGTGCCTTCTGGAAGTGGAACAGGAAGTCTGTATTTCTCATTTCTTCTTGGAGGCATCACTTCTGTTGGCAGAAATGTTGAGATAAGTAATTAAAAATAAAAACAACAAAAAGTCCAGGTAAAATTCATTTCTCAAAATACCTTCTATGGGGCACTTTCCCAGGTTCCTCAGAATTAGGATTCTGAAGTCAACTGGACTTGGGAAGGCCCACATACTACATTCAAGTCGGAATTTCACATACAATATTGAAATCTAAGAAGTACTGACATTAAAAAACAAGCAAACAAACAAACCTGTTGAGCTTCACTTAACATTTCCAAAATTCATTTAGGGAAGTCTATTATACGGGGCAGAATATACCTTAAGACGTGAGTTTATAATTCCCAATGACAAACAGAAAATAAATTTCATATACATGTAAATACTCCTTCCTTTAAGAATGTAAGTATGAAAGACAACGTCTTGGGTCACTAGGAAAGAATACAGTTTCGGATTAGGAAAAAGTGACAACAGCAACATATATCATCACCAAGCACAGCAAGTGACATCACGGACACAGAATAGGTACTCAGGAAATATTTGTAAAATAAGTCTAGAATTTTCACGGACATATAACTTCTCAGAGCACAAAGTCACAGGGCAGTTTCATTGCTGGCACACTACACTTTCAGCTTGTTTCCCTCTACCCTGTGTCTTCCCCACACTCACCAAAGTGAAAATTGCTCTGCCTTAGAGATTAATCAATTACATTTGTACACAGGTTTGTGATTTTCACAATGAAAGATTTTTAGTTGGAAGAAAAAAATTGCATAAGGAGATAAAAAACCCACAGCATATCTGCCAGAAACTAATTTAAATGTGAAGGTAATTGCAATCCTCTAAGTATTTCCAAAAAAAATTTGAAGAGTGGTGAGTCTTTGAAATGAAAGTTAAAGTTTTCGTTGTATAATCTTTCCATGTTTTGAATGAGAAAGTTTGTTCCTTTTAATAAGGTTTCCCTTCTTCACTTTAATCCAATGCCCTGCTATCTTTTACTTAGCATCAAGGTCTCAGCGCCAAGGAACACAGGAGAAACCTTTAAGGATAGTATTCACCTGTCCTCCTTACAGGAACACAAGGGAAGCGGGGAATTTAGATAGTGAACTATGCCTAAAGCAGCTTTGTGGGGGTTCCCCTTGACCGATACTTTATATATACTGGTGTCCAATACATGTTTGCTGAGTTAAAACCTAAAGCGTTCAAAGAACAACTTTTCAGCCGGACCTAAATTCTAAATACGTATAAACAGGATAAACACATTTTGGGGCGGGAGGGAAGTCCGTGGCATCAGAACTTGAGACCTGAAATGTGACAGTGAAATGCACATCCTGGGCGCGGTTACAGCGAGCAAGCGGCGGCCTCCTCTCCAGGCCAGTCCCACCCCCACCCCCGACCCCACAAGGGTGTCCCTCTGCTCCGGGGCTCCTTACAGGGCTACGATGAAAAGCGCTCAACACGAGTTGCTGGGGACAAACCGGTGCCCAGAGGCCTGAACACGCGCCAGGACTGGGGGGAAGGGGCGGG